GTCGATGTTAAGCCTAACGAAAACTTTCTAAAATAATAATCGTGGCTATTGTATCGTTAAAAATTATTTTTTTATTTTGTACAAACAAAATAAATATATTGAAAAATATAAAAACCAAAAAAATATACTTTAGAAGTTGATCTAGTATCAAAAACGTTCGATTCAGCACGACACAGTCCTCAGAAAAACATCACACAAAAGTGCCAGTGCTGCCAGCTAAAACACACACACCAACGAAAAAAAAAATATTGGAGTAGCCCAAGATATAGCCAAAGATTGCAGCGCCACAGCACTAGCGAAAATTTAAATTTGCCGACTGGAATGCTTTCGGATAACCGACTTTCGGATAAATGATGCTCTACTGTATATGTATATTACTGTGAAAGACCAAAATTAGAGAATGTCGACACATACAAAATATGTCAGTGAAAGACCAAATATTTGGTTATATTATTATACATTTGAACAATCGCTGGTGTATGTTGACAAGCACAGATAAGCTTTGGTGCAGGTTAAAGAAATTGTTAATACTTTTGAAGAAAATTTGAGCAGTGGCCATAGCAAATACCATATTCCAAAGGAAAATGTTGAAGAGGAGCTGCAACCCATACGTCTTCATATCAAGCCCTAACTAAACAACACAAAGTTATTTCTATAAAAAGAGCGGCTGCAAAAGAGAATCTTCTACTGCAAGCAACAAAATGTTACGAATCTCAAAAAGAAAATTTCCTCTTGCTCAAGTTGGTGATACCATACGAATACAAGTCCCTGATGTCAACCGTGGCCATACAGATACCCGAAATGTGTTGGCAGTTGTTGTTGAAATAACGACTCCGACTTTTATAAATTAGAAAACAAAATGGTACCCTCAAACAACTTTATAATCATAATCAGTTCGTAATTTGTAAAGAAAAATTACTTTCCATAGATGAGATTTCTTCTCAAGAAATATCGCTGAGAGAAGCAGCTACAGCTAATTTGAAAAGTGGAGGGCAAGGCTATACACATTGCCATTGCAAAAAGAAGTGTTTCATGAATAAATGCAGTTGTAAAAGCAAGGGACTCTTGTGCAATTCAAAGTGCCAAAACAGTTTAAGTTGTTGCAATAAATAACATTGTATAATTTTCTTTAATGATTTAGAATGTACTGTTTGTTTTAGGTTCAACAGTTTATTTTATTAAATTTTATTTCAATCCATAATGTATTCACCATTATTTTGTACAATTTCTTGCCATCTTGATGGTAGCTTTTTAATCCTGTCTTCGTAAAATGATTTCGGTTTTGAATCAAAATATGCAGAAATAGACTTTTTTACATTATTCTCATCCTCAAAAGTTTTCCCTTTTAAAAAATTCTGCAAACTATGAAAAAGATGATTATCACTGGGAGCATTATCTGGTGAATATGGTGGATGAGGTAAAATTTCCCAGTTGTAGCTTTTGAGTTTCTGTACAGTTATTTTTGCAGAATGTGGTCTGACATCGTCATGTTGCAAGAGAACCTGCTTTCTGTTCACTAATGATGGTCTATTTTTTTCAATTTTTCATTTAAACGCTCTAATTGCTCACAATACATTTGAGCTGTAATTGTTTGATTAGGTTCTAACAGCTCAAAGTGAATTACACCTGACATATTCCATCAAACAGACAAAAGAATTTTTTTTGGATGCAACCCACCTTTTGCAGCCAGTTTTGGCTGCCTGTCATGATCCGTCCATTGTTTTTTTCTCATCATATTATTATAGGGGATCCATTTTTCATCTCCAGTAACCAGCCGATCAAGAGAAGGTTCTAAAGCAATATGGGATAAAAGAGACATGCAAATGTTTACACGTTGTTAATTAGCTATTGACAATTCATGTGGTATCCATTTCCCTAGTTTTGAAACTTTTCCAATTTGTTGGTGTCTATTAACAGTTCCAAGGGATGAACTTAAAATTCCCCAATTTCATCAACTGTTAAAGATGGTTCTGCTTCAACTAGTGGAGAGATAGCATCATTATCAAAGTCATTGGGACTTCCAGTACGAGCCTTATCCTCCACATTAAAATCATTGTTTCTAAATCTTTCAAACCACTTCTGTGCAGTCCTTAAACTAATTACAGTTTGATTATGAACAGTATTTAATTTTTTGGCTGCATTTGTAGAATTGTCATCACTTAAAAATAAAAAGTATAAAACATGTCTCTTATATTCATCTGTTACCTCCATTTTAATGAAAATAAACAACTGAAATGTTCCCAATTCTGAACAGTATTATATGAATGAGATCCAATTTAACACTTCAGTGTAAAAAGTATCACATTAGACTGGCATNAAAATATAATAAGATTTTGTATAACTATATTGAACAAATATGTAATTGTATTTTTTTTTTTTATTACTAAATTCTAGAAACAAATTTAATTTGTCAAATGTATGTAAAGATTTATTTTATTTGAAACATCATCTGTCAAAGGGATCTCAGCAAACAATCTGAAAACTAAAAACAAACCTAGTTCACTTAAAATTGCTTTAAACAGTACACTGAGTTTAGAAATGCATGGTTTTCTTCTTCTGTTAGCCATATACTGTAAATTGGGATAAATATTACTTTTGGACAGTCCTGTCTGGCCATTTAATTGAGGTTGCCACAAGTTGGAATTTGATATATATTACAACTTAGGTACTTTTATAGGTAACTGCAAGGATGGCTACAAAGCAAGATTCTATTGTATACTTATGTAGAATTTTTTTACACATAAAAATTACATATAATACAATACATATTTAAGTTGAATTTTATGGAAAAAGATACATTCCCTGTGATATAATATTTAACATCTCCCATTTGTTATAAAAACAGAATGCAGCAACTTATGCTTTTGTTAGATAACAATGATTTTAGCAAATCTTGTATAGCCTAGCGACATTTAAAATAAGTGTTTAATTTCCACAATATACAATTTGGTTCCAAAGGAAAGAATGATAATTAGAATTTTCTAAAAATCAGTTTAAAAAATTGTATATTTGGATATTTTGAGTACTATAATTATCTATAATACCCAAGTCATAAAAAGTTGGTACTTGCTTTCTCGAACTTCACTAACATTCAGAAATTTACGTAATACATTAACAATAATAATTATATAAAATTGCTTAAAAGCAATGTGTAATTTTATATTCTAATGAAACTGAGAATATAATTAATTATCACACAATTACTTTAAAACTTATAGTAAAATAAAAATAATAATCAAGTAAATTTTACCTTTTCATGAAATTTTTTTTCAAAAATTGGAGCAAAATCTGCAGCCATTTGACCGATACAATTGCAAGCTGCATATCGAACTCTGGGATGCTGCAATTTTAAAATTATTTAATATTTAAAAAATTACAAAACATAATCAAATTTAAGTAATTTTACAGAATTTCAATTCTTAATCTAATTAATCTTTATGATGTTATAAATTTCATTTACACATGACTATAAACTAAAATTTTCAGAAAAATTTTTCTGAAAATTAGTATTGTTTAAGGAGACACATGGAGGTGAAAAACTTTTTTGGTTAATGAGATTTAAATCCCGAAGTAACTGTCATAGTGTAAAAATTATGTGATGAAGCAGAAGTGCGGAAGTTGCGGTGGTGGCTGCTTTTCCTAAGGAATTTCAGGGATATGTAGAACAAGGCAACTATTGTCCACATCTAGTCTTTAACATTGATGAGACTGGACTTTATTGGAAAAAGTTACCAGAAAAAGCTTTTATTTCTCATGAAGAATATTCCACTCCAGGTTTTAAAGTTGCAATAGATAGATTAACTCCTTTGTTGGGAGCCACTGTTTCAGGAACTTTGAAACTTAAACCAATGTTAGTGTATCATTCACAGACACTGCATGCTTTAAAGGGTCTAAATAAAGATATATTGCCAGTTTATTGGAAATGGAACAAGAAAGATTGGGTCACACAAGATGTTTTCATAGATTGGTACACAAGTTATTTTTGCCCTACTGTGCTTTGCTTTTTTGAAGAAAATAAATTACCACCCAAGGCACTTCTCTTGGACAATGCTCCAGGACATCCTCAAAACTTTAATGAAATAAGAACACCATTCGATGTCAAGGTTGTTTACATGCTTTCCAATACAACATCTCTTTTGCAACCAATGGATCAGGGAGTTATTGCAACCTTCAAAGCTTATTATCTCCGTAAAAAATTCATGAAAATGATGAAAGTTTCAGACACTTCAGACGAAACAGTTAAAGACTATTGGTGGTCTTTCCATATTTTGAAAGGCATTAAAAACATGAGGTTGGCTTGGAATGAAGTTTCAGCAAAATGCTTAAATGGAGTTTGGCATAAACTTCTGCCAGCATTCATGCATAATTTTGAAGAAGTAGCACATCAGGACAATTTAATTGAAGGCATTACCAGACTTGCACGTGATGCGGGACTGGAAGATGTTACAGCTGAAGATGTGACAGAACTTTTAGAAGCCCATGATCAGCCACTCCTGAATAAAGATTTAGAACAATTATATAAAGAATTAGATTGTGAACAGTCAGAAGGAAAAAAATGAAGAAGAAACTCCAAGAGTTATGAAAACGGTCAATCTAAAGCATATCCTTTCAACTATGGAAAGCTTGACAGATGCACTTTGTGAGTTAAGGAAGTTTGCAGTTGTCTCATGTTACTAGACTGACAGGAGATCTGAAAGTCATCCACATACAGAAAGTGTTTCATACTGGGAGGGAGCTATGCTGTTAATTTTAATTAGAACAGAGTCACACTCAAAATAGGACCTTGAGGAACACCTTGTGTAAAAGGCCTGTATAAAGTGGTGTCCATCCTAACTTGGAATCTTCGATTCTGTAGGAAGTTTTTTATAAAAACTAACGAATTACCCCTGCAGTCCAAACTGGTGAAGATCACAGAGTATTTTGTATCTGCCAATATTAAACCTAGAAAAGAAATGAATCTGCATATTCTGGGTTGCAACTATAAACAGTGTCTTTCATAGTTGAAGCCAATATCTTTACAGAATCTCTACGTAATCTTCAAGTCTTTTGTTGTCTGTTTCTACCACAAGAAGGCTAAAGCCTAATTGCTGATATCTATTGATTTCACCATGCTTGATTGGTCAATATATATTTCTAGAATGCTGACATTGACTAGTAAGAGTAACCATTGATCTCACCTGACATGAATCCCAAAGAATCGCATAACCAAGAAAAAGTGTACTTATAACAACATAATCTTGTCAATATGCATTCTGGAGGGCTATTCATGATGGAGGAAAATGCATTAGATAATTTCATAAACAGTTTGATAGAATAGATATACAGTGGAACCTCGATATTTGTCATTAATCTGTTCCTAAGGACCTAACAAATATGGAATATGATGAATATAGAAATAATTTTTCTCATTATAAATAACTGATATTCAATTAATCCGTTCCCACCCTGAAAAAAAGATACAAGAATGAAAACTATGCTGTTTTTTAAAACTTTATCTTTATTTTACTAAATAAATACAGTATAGTGATAGAAGGGGAAGAACAGTATTATTAATACAGTATATTAATAATATAGTATTATTGTTTAGAAGACATATCAATTAAAACATTAGGCAATTCCAATTATGATCATGGGGTCTGTTTTCCCAATGATTCAGTAACACTCGATTTAATAAAGAACTTTTCCAGTGTTGTGTGTTTTTGTCTGCTTTTTACAACTTTTCTGAAGTAGGCAATTACATTATCATTGAATGTATTTGTATTTTGGTTGATTATAGCAACATTTGAGTGCCACTTTGGAGTAATTGGAATTTGGTTTCTCACATTGATTATTTTTCAATAACTCAACTACACACATGACGACCGCACAAAGCAGACTGATTAACTACAACTAGCTAATGCAGCTAGCTGATCAGTGCAGGTGTTCAATTGTTGTGCCACTTTTGGTGTTGGGAATGATGACGAATACAGAAAATACTGATGAATATGGAAAAATAAGTCATCAAAATATGACGAAAATTGAATATTACAAATGTAGAGGTTCCACTGTGTATATATATATATATATATATATATATATACAGTGGAACCTCTATATTTGTTATATCATGTTAGTTTTTGCCATATATATATATATATTATATATATGGCAAAAACTAACATGCTTTACTAGTGACAGAAAAAAAACTATCACAAGAATACTAGTAATGATACAAAATAGGAGAGGTTTAAAAATCTCTTGTTTCAAGATGCAATTGTTTTCAATAGATATTCCTTCTTTTCTCAAATAGAATAATTTAATTGCAATTGTCAGTTTTTACATAGCCATTTTTAGCTTGTTCTCATAATCTTCACTAATACAAAACTTTTCATGTATAATAATATTATCAATTATTCCTTGAAAAACTCTTATATGATTGCAAAAAAAAACAAAAACAGATATTACAAAATAAATAAAAGAAAACAAAATTTGATCTTATTATTATATCATTATTTGTACAGTATCAGCTTTAATTAATTGATTATTTATAAGAAATTTTTAAATATGTAATTATCATTCATATGCAATTCAAACACTTTTATTTATCATAAAATTAAAAACGAAAACATACTGAATCTTGTAAATATGGTAGCACTGTATCTACTACTTGTCCTAATAAAACTTCCATCTGCTTATGGCAACCTTCTCCAACTGCAGATACAGCCATTAATCCTGCATGACGATGCTTCCAATCAGCTGTAAATTTTTAACATAAACATATTAAATGCAATTAATAATACATACTGTATATATATACATACATACATACAAACAAACACATCACTTTTTGCTTTATAATATAATACTTACGACTAGACAACATTTGTGGTAAATAATTTATTACTAAAGGCAAAATGGACTTCCCACCAAGAGAACATGCAAGCCTATCAAGGGAAGATTCACCAACTGCAGAATTTCTGTTTAAATATAAAATAATTCAATTAGATATTACCTTAGTTTTACTGTATTATCTATTTAAAAAACAAAAAATTATTAATCTAACTTTCTATAAATTATTATTAAAATAGTTTAAGTAAAAATGTTAATAAACTATTCTTAAAACTTGTTTTAATATATATATATAAAACCTTAATATTATTATTAAGATATTGAATCCTTACCCTTACAGTAATGATATCTTTTATATATATACTAGCAGCAAGGACCCGCTTCGCTGGGTTTTTATTTGTTCGTACATTTGTATGTAATATAGTTTTTTTTATATATATAAAAGACTGTTTTTCTAAGTAATCTAGAATCTAGCTGCAAGGACCCGCTTTGCTGGGTTTTTATTTGTGGGCAAAAAGTAACAATAGTGAAGATTAAAGTAATTACATTATAGCCAATCTTACCCGTTTTCACAGAATGCAAGAATTAGGTCCCCCGTTTCCAGACTAATTATAGAATTTTTACACCCAGTCAAATGAACTATTTTCAATTTGATCAATTTTCTGGAACGTTTACAATCGTTTTATAATCGAACCAATTCGAATACAAATTCAAATTCAAAAATTTTTTAAATTGAAATAGAAAATCTTCCACTTTCAAGCCCATATCTCCCGCACTCTTATAGCTATCGAGACGCAACCACCACAGTGCACGAATGGAGACTTGGGGCTACTACCACATACAAACACCATTCACGTGCGATGTATAGTTTTGGCTAAAAAGTGAAATATAGGGACATACATGTCCATTTATATATATATATATATATATTCATAAAAAAAATTATNTCACCGGTATACAAGATGTTATTTATAATAAATCTATAATGGTTTTTCAGTTTTATCAAGGAATATGATATGTGAATAAAATAGTTTGTAAATCTTGTGTGTAAATAGAAATATATACTTTTCTTACCTAACTGTGAAATATGTTTGCTACCAAGTTTACGTATCATTCCAGGTGACGTTTCTGATAAAGTTACAACTATTTCAAGAGCTAAATGTCGGAATGTATCTTGCATACTTGATTCAGATACAACCTTTAAAACCAACAATAAAATTATTATTGTTCAATGTTCTATAAAATAATCTATTTAAATCTATAAAATAATTAATTTAAATATATTGGAAAAGTATATCTTTGAAAAATATAGTAATAATGTTATAAATGTGTATATACACACCTGTATTCAAAGTAAGTCAAAAGTCCCTTGTACTTTTTTCATTCCAAAAGTATCAAAGATATATTAATTTTATTCATGTAGTTACATAGGAAATCATGCATATAGAATTGGATGGGATCTTTTTGTTGACCTTGAAACTCATTTTCAAGATCAGCTATATTGTAACTTTTTGATAAGCAGAGATAACATATATGTTTGAATGACAAATTTAGAGAGTGTCATTTAATTAACCTAAATCCATTTTCTGGATTCAAATACAGCAGAATCTCATTTTAACATTCATCTGTTATTCTGAGTAATCCATTGTTTCGTGATTTAACAAATCATGATACATTGGATTTCTCAGAATAACAGATTTTTCACCCATGCTTGCCAAATCAATGTAATTTTATGTCTTTTTAGCAAAATGTAATTCAAAATAACAGATTTTTTTCTAATCTATTGTAAATTTCCCATTTTTCAACATTTAATTAATAATTTGATGTTTCCAGAAATATGTAGAGTTTGATGATGCACTTGTTACATCTGGGATGTGAACAGTACAGATGAAGAACTTACAAAGAGTGTCAACATACTGATAGAATTGAGAAGCCACCTAGTGAACATTCTGAAGTGTAATGATGAATTTAATGAGGCCATCAAGTCTTTCCAAGTCTTCAAGAACTTCCTGACAAATTTCAGCATAAATAAACAGGCTATACGAGGGCTGTTCAAAAAGTATCGGACCTTTGGTCGGCAAAAATATATTTATTGATTTTGAGGTACAAAACCCTAATCCCCTTCAAAGTAGTCTCCTTGGTANGGCCAGTATTTAAACGAGACTTAATTTTGTAATTATGAGTGGTTGTTTGTTTGTTTTGTGAGCAATAAAATAATTTTAAAATAATTTTTAACAATACAATAGAGACGATTATTATTAAAAAAAAAATTGCTAGGCTTAATATAGATGAAAATTCAACGCAAAGTTGGTTAATAGCGATATACTAATATACTAATTACATGGGATATACTAATATACTATACTAATAATGTATTTTTTTCCTTCTTTTCGGTTATCCGACCAAGCTGAGTCCCCAATTGAGTCGGATAATCGATGCTCTACTGTATTTCTATTTTTCCATGACAAGAGAAAAATTAATCATCAATGTCTGAATACCAGAGATACAAGCATATTGTCCTCATGTATGGAATTATATAACAGAAAAGAAATTAGGGCAAAAAACCCTTAAGTCATATATGATCTTACAATCAACTTTTGGTTTTGCTTTTATTTTTATGTTATATTTCCTTAGAAGTTTTATCTAATATTTTTTATTTATTCCTTAATTTTATTTTTGTTAATTGTATTTTTTCATTATACATTTATTTTATTTGTTCAAGTTTAAATCTGTAATTGGAATTTTAAGTTTAAATGTAAATTCAAATATCTGAATATTCCATTTTTGTAATGATTTATTATCAAATTTAAAAACGAAAACATTTGTTTAATAAAAAAATTTTCTCAGCAAGCATTAGGTAGTGAAGTAAAATTCCAGAAGTCAAGTCAAACAATAAAGTTGTGTATTATAGAGAGAGAGAGAAACAGCCAAAGCAAAAAAATTATAAAATCTCTAAAGATAAAACTCTTTTTATTGTGAATTTGTTGCAATGCACAAAACATTAAAACTATAGATTAAACAGAAAAAATACAAAAATTTTCACAACTGATTTTACTGTTACTAAAACCAAAACTGGCAAAAAGTGTCACTACACAACAGCATGAAATTTTTCTTTGTTAGCTAAAAATACAAACCTCTGAACCTTATAAATGCATTATACATTTATAAGGTTCAAAGGTTTGTGTTTTTTATGAAATATAGTCGACCCCCCCTATAACACGGTAGATATGTTCCGTTCTTTATGAAATTGAAATTGATGTTCTAAGAGTCCTTGAATACATGAGCCAATCACAGCCCGGCAGTATGCAGTTTAGGGACTAAGGCTGTTTGAAAGGTTTTCTTCCATAAAATTAATCGATTCTAGACTTATTCGACTCAACATTTTCAAAATACGTATAATTTTTTGGAAATAATCCATATAAACTATGCTATAAACAAAAAATTGTAGGATTACTTACCGTGTGTGCACCATTTTTTTCAAAACTTTTTTATCGCAATTTTAATTTACCTTTAATGACGCATGCTTCACGCTTAATTGCTTTTTAATAGTTTTTTAATGGGAGTTTGATATCAAATTTCATTCATCGTTCTAAAGTTGTAGTGCACAGATTTGACTTCGGTAAAGTTATTTAAAGCTAGTTTCTGATGTCAAAAATGACCTCCGATAGTTTTTTAATTTTTTTAACTAATAGATTTTATTATACATAAGTTTAATTAAGTCAGGGGGTCGGAAATTGCAATAAAAAACGTAATTTTTGAAAAATATTTAAAAATATACAGCCAGCTAGTATTCACCCTACTTTAAACCCTTCTCCTCCTGAGACGTCAGAGAATGTCCCGGGAAATCCAATACCAGTTGTTCTCAAGGTTATCTAGCTGTAAACACAATGACTCATCGGTGTCAAATTTCGCAGAAAGGCGAGACAATGGAAAATAAAGTTTGAAGCTTTTTCTTCAAAATTAACACATTTCTTTCGTTTTTTTCAGTTTTAAGTATTTTTTATGTTTAATTACATAAATATTAAAAATTGGTGGAAACTAAAGGAGTTAACGACACAGTAAACATGATTATTATTTAAAAAAAAAAATTTTGTTAGGCTTAACATCGACGAAAATTCAACATGGCGTTACAGGCAACAGAGAAAAATTTCAACATTGAATAGGTTAAAGCTTAAACAACAAGAGATTAAAATTGTGACATCATTTCCTGTTTAGCGAAAACAAGTCTGTAGATTTAACTTTTTTACATTGTTAAATAAAATTTTTATTTCTTTATATTTATTTCAGGCTGACATCAAATATGATACAAGTGTAAAACTTTTGGACATTTATAGCATGAACGTACTGCAACAAAATGTAACAATTGCCATAATTATGGGCATTCTCCTGAGAATTGTTTGAAAAACAGTTGTGTGTCTACACTAACAAAGAACTTATGGACGGACACAATGGACACCAAGGACATTTTACAGGAACCTGAAAACAGTAAAATAAAAATAGGAATAGAAAATGAATTGTCAACATTATAATCCATGCCATGCTGAAAACAACAGGAAACTGGAAATACCCTATGGAAAAGTGAAGGAAATAAGCAGAATGAATTGCACACAGACAAAAGGCACATAAATCTCCCTATAACAAACTCTGAAAACAAAGAAAATGTAAACTTAAAAAAATAATAAAATGGATGTCTTCGGAGAATATTGTCAAGAGAAAAAAAATTAAATTTACTCAAAACCTAAAACCAATGATAGGATACATGGGTTAAAGCAGGAATATAATGACAAAACCTTAGATCCAGGTAAACATCAAACAGCCATAGCAAAAACAAAAGCCAAGCTCAAAATTTATCATGAGAAACACATATGTAGAGTGTTTATTTAATCCATGCAAAACTATGTAAGCAAAAAAACTCATCCATCGAGGAAATTTTACCAAATGGAACAGAAACACATTCAGTCTAAAAAGATCAATGCAATAATAAATGACAATAATGAAATTATAACAGACAAGGAAGAAAAAAAAATTTATTAACCAATATTATTCAAAAACATTTGAAAAAAAAAAAACTTTTACAAAGAAAAGGCACAGGTATTTCTGTTCCAAATACCAAAACTAAATGACAAACAGGAACTGAATTAAACAGAAACATCACCTATCCAGAATGCATAGTAGCACTGAAGAGCATGCCAAATAAGAAATCACCAAGACTGGACGGGCTACCTGTAGAATTTTATAAACAATTTTTTTCTCTGATAGGACAACAATGTAGTAAGATGATCAACAAGCATTAAAAACCAACAAACTGACCAATGGCTTTAAATAAGGAACAATTACTCTTATTCCTAAAACCAATAAGAAGAAAGAACAAGCAAAAATTACAAACTGGAGACCCATCTCACTACTTAATATTGATTACAAGATCCTCACTAAAGTCTTAGCTGCCAGATTGCAGACTTGCATTCCTCTAATCATTGACGAACACCAAACTTGCAGCATTAAAAGCCAGTCCATACATTCTGATATTTTTCTCTTGCACACCAGCTACAACCAATCAATGCTACAACACTTGTGGCTTTCTACAAATAGAAACCTCCACAAAGTCTTTGATAATAATAAACATTATTACTTATGGCTATCGCCGCTCAGAGTTGTGAAAGTTTCAAAGACTTATAAGCTAAACACTCAATTTTCAGATGCCCAGTTTTTGGAAATGCTTGAGAAGTGGGTCTTATTATTTGGACAAAGACCTGTTTGTGTTTAAGACTACATGTTCACCAAGATTTGTTTGAATCGATAACCTGAATGTCTGGTCCTCTCCTTGTTAGCAATATGAATCATTTTTGAATAATTTTTTAATGAATAATTCTGAATAACAAATTTGATTACAATGTTTAAACAGAATTTCACATGTTCTGTCATGTCAAAATTTTTGTTTTAGTCAACTGAAAAAGTCACCCCAAAGAATTCCCCAAATTTTCCGTCAGTTAATAAAACTCCCCCAATCTGGCACCATTGCACAAAACTGTCTTCGGTTCTCAATGTCACTTCCTACTTTTCTGCCTGAACTTTCCACCTGACATCATGAAATCACTGGATGTGTTATGTACATGACTCCCTCCACATGGAAGCTTGACTTCCTGTTGTTTTTCCTGAAGTGTGCATTGTAATTCAGTTTCATGCTGAATGTCAAAATAAGTGGACTAGAAATTTATCATCACTTGCTATCGCCAGTATTATAATTTTATTGACACTTTAATAAAAACATTGCCAAGTGGCAATTTTGGAGCTATGCAGTGTGAACCCTGCTATGTAACTACATTAAAAAAGTTAATATATCTTAAATACTTTTGGAATAAAAGAGATTGAAAGGAATTTTTTACTCACCCTGAATATAAAATACTTAAAAACTTTTTAAATTTCTGCTATTTATTGAAACAATATACTTTCTGTTTTTCAAAATTGTATGAATTTAATAATAAATAAAAATTTTTCAATTTCACTTACTTTTATACATAGTTGTAATAATGAATCAAGCTGACTTCGCAGATATCTAGGACAAGATTCTGCAAGATCAACAAAGCACTTAAGTATGCTGTCATCATCTTGTTGTTCAAAAGTTTGTGATAATACCTATAATGTAAATATTTACAATCTTACTAAAAATTTATTACAAAAGTAAAGAAACAGTTATAATGAATATTATCTTATGTAATTTTTTAAAATGTTAGATATGCTTTCTAAGAACTAATTATGTGAGATCTGCAGAATTGTTTTGTTAATTATTATAAAATATTCAAATATTTTATATTGAGGAGAACATTTTAAACAAAGAAAGGGTGTACATTCTTTCATTTCTGAGGAAAGAAGGGAAGTTGAACTTCCTTTAAATGGCTGACTTGCATGATGAATCAGTTTTGCACATGGTGCAGGCCGTCTGGAAAGATTCCTATAAATAGGGACATTTTTCCGCCACTCGAGGTAGTCCATCAAAAGAAGATTACCATACAAACTATGCGCAGTTCTGCAATGTGGGAAGTACCACATAATATTTGCGGAGTTCCCTGAAGATAAGTACTGGTCATATAAGCGTCGATCTCCGTATAGTACTAAGAATTGCCTTCCCATAAAATCGAAGATCCACAATATAGAAGACACAATTATGAACATTACTTAAGTTCGAGGCAGTATAATTTGGTGTGTATGTAAACTCTCTCTCTCTCGCGAGTTAGGAGCTTTAATTTGTAATCTTTTGTTATTATTTTGGTTTCATTAAATGTTTTGTTATTGTTTTAACATGGTCTCCTTAATGACTAAATCCCAGGTCTACGTCCACTCCACTTACTCGCGACCTTCCCACTCGATATTCCTATAAAAAGGGTTACTAGCATGCCTAACGCTATAACTAGGCTGGTGTCAGGAAAAACAACTTTCAGGAGTTTCATATGAACCTTTGTTTTATTTCTAAGTCTAAGGAAGCCATCCTTTGACTCTGTGGGTTAGTCTCATAGACTAATAGCCAATTAAGCAGTACATGAGTTTTATCAACTCCATATCCCCGGCTAGCCCCTCACAATTATAAATAAACACTAAATTATTATAATTTATTAGATATAACTCTTTATTCAATAAATTGACTAACAGAAGATAAACAATATATTATAAGTGAATTAAAGTTTAATGCATAATACCTACAGAGCATAATATTATACAAATGAGTGATTTCAGTCATCATCTGTCTATATCTAAATAAGTTTATAACTATTAATTTACTCGCATTATTTAAATTATGTTTTCTTTTGCCTTATCATCAATTATTTTTTAATAATTTTTTATATATAGAATAAGTACAATACATATAAATAACATAATAAGTTAATATTGTTTACAAATTATTATAATTGCAAGGACATTTAAAGAGAATCATGAATGATGTTGAAAATAAGAATTGGGCTCCAAGTATAACAATGTATATAGCATGTTTAATTAAAACTGTACACAGATTTATCTATTCATATTAAAAGTTACAAAAGCAAAGAAAATTTCAAAATACATATGTAAGTGACTGTAATATATCATATAAGTTTCCTAAATAAATGTATGAAATATATTTAAAAAATATAGAAAATGATTTAAGAAATTAAAAATATAAAATTATCTACATATGTATATAATTACAAACATATAATAATTTCTGCAAACTGGAAACTTTATTTACATTTACTTATATAAAATTTTATGCATAAATGTAAATAAAATCTTCACTTTGCAGAAATAAATTAATTTCAAAAGCAACTGACAATGGCAATAATGCTTCAGAAATAGAAAAAGAATTACAGAATAAATACTAATGCAAGAATAATTTAATAAAAGGGAAGGCCTATATGTTACTAAAATGTTACATATTGTGTATATCTTGGATACCTTTATAAGCAGTAAAGTCATTTGCATGAATAGACAATACAAAAAAGAAAACTTGAAAGAAAATAAGAGACAAGTTCAGTAAATGAATTAAGTGCATCAGTGCATGTATGGATCATTTAATAAAAGAACTGATTTCAGTGCACAGCATTTAAAAAAAAATCAGTTGCTTCCAGTATCAGTACTATTAAAATATCTTATAAGTGCATTGTGTTTTCTCATCAGTGCAATATGGCTGTTTCCAAGAGTTATCAATTTCCTTAAGAGTATAAATTTTTCTTACTTTTGTTACATCATCTAAAAATAAGAAAACATCATACTCTTCCTTCATGCAGTTGTTATATAAGTAAATAAATCATTGCTTCAGGAAGCCAACTTTTTATTCCCAAGTTTTGTAACTTTTTATAATCATATATGTAAAATAAATGTTACCCTTTCAAAATAATTTTTATTAGTAATTCAATAATTCACTTTGCTTACAATAAGCATTAAACATAAATGATTTATTATTTATTATTACTTAAAATGACAAATGAGATAAATAACAATACACATAAAAACTGTGAATTTCTTTTAAGTGAATGTAAAAAATAAAAACACAAATAAGATATTTACTTTCTAAATATAAAATCTACAAATTGCTGACAGAATTCTCTTTGAATGATAACAGTTGTGAAAGCACTGAAAATATAGCATATTATATAATGAGCATTGAATAAACCACTTTTGCTAAAATTGCACAATTTTCCAGTCAAATGGAAAGCAAACTTCTTTTACATTTCTAAACATCTTTCTCTCCTTTGATATTTTTAAAGCAAACTATGCATATTTTATCATCTTATTGAATTTGGAGGAGAAAAGTTGATAAATCAGTGAATGAGTACAAATCACATCATTTCAATGACTCAATTGTTGACTCTTTTATAATTGTCATGAAAATTTTGTATTATCAAATTCATTTTTAACTTGGTAATAAACATACACATTACAAGGTTGACAGATTGAAGTACATTCATTCTGGAGGTATAATTTTAAACTGCAAGTTGGTTGATTACCCTCATCTCAAAATATTTCATCATATATCACACACTCATATACCGTATTTTACGGACTATAAGATGCACCTTAATTTTTAAGCAATTTTTAAAAAAAAAAAAAATTTTAACAACTAAATTCAATCCTTTTATACAGATTGAAGCAAACACTGATCCACTAATCAATGCTTAGTAGCGCTATGAGACGTCCACTGATCGTATGATGGTCGCACGATAATCACTGGCCAATCCGCGGTCGTGGATTCAGAACCACCGGTCATCTCTTGATCTGAGTTTCTATGGCGACATCTGTTGCTCGTTTGAAAAGAGAAAAAGTACGAGAATCATATGTCCAGACAATTCTATCCCGACACCCCGCAACTCATGTTCATTGCATCGGTGCACTGCTGCTGCCAGTTGAATTCAATGTTGCCAGATAGAGATAGGTTTCTCGCGACATCAAATATATGGCCATTTTTAAGATGCGGGAATTTTAAATCAAATACTGGACATTTTTATATTAATTTCGAGTATAAGACACACCTGAATTTTGGAGGCAATTTTTCGAAGAAAAAAGTGTCTTATAGTCCATAAAATACAGTATATACACACACATTTTTTTGGTCTTCTCACAAATCAACATTTAAACATTTAATACAAATTTCTTATTTCTTACTGTCAGTTTCAAAACTAAACATTCTCCATATAAAGGAGAGATTAATTTTCCTAACTTTGAACATATGATAACTGTTTTTAGCACACTCCACTATAGTGGTGAAGTGCTTATGTTAGGACTTTTGTGTGTCTGTCAGATGTACACACACATGCTCCATTCAATCCATTTATTGCACATGTCCACGCACATACACAATGACTTCACTTTCGTTACCTAATTGTTATGTTCCATTCAATCTGTTCATTGCACATGTCCATGTTCATCAGCAAAAGGGAACTGAATGTTTCCATTTACAGTCATTTAAGCTATAGTAAAAACTACATGGTTCCTCTGGAATGGAATCTATAAACCACATCCCTTAGTATATAATCAGTGAAAAATTTTTCTGAACAACTACTTGATTCCAAGATTTTATAAAATTTATTTTAAACAAAATTAATATTTGATTCACTTTTGTAAAGCATACTATTAGAGCTTGTTAAATTCTTCAGTCAGTTTATTAATAGCTTCTTGTACTTCAGCTCTAAATTTGTTTCCAGGTTCTTACATACAAAGAAAAACACAAGGTAGTATAGTCTCCAATTTTGTTATACTATATAACTTAAAGCTGTATATTATTGTGATATTTTATTTAAATTGCCAATAAGCAATGAAACCAATTTTCATCAATGTGTATAAATGTAATTTTACATCTATTCTATATTTACATTCTGTTTGATCTGTGTTTATAACAAAGATGGGATTGAAATTGTAGATAATTATTGATATTTTTTGTTCTTGAAAAGTTCTTCAAACACTAATATTTCTTTCATTAATACAAACTCTATTTTAGAAACATATTTTGCCACCTTTCCTGTGAAATTCTGCTTCTTCAAAAAATTTTAAAGCCATGAACTACATGCTTAAAATTTACAACCGCTCATTAAATCCAGCTTTGAAGTACTTTCTTTTTCAACAGTTGGAACTTTTGGAGGAAAATACTGGATAGCTATGGCAAGTGTTCACTACTGAAAAAGGCATTTCATTACCTTTTTGTTCTGTTTCTTTACGTCACAAAACCTATCAAACATTTAACAACAAATCACATTCCATTTGTACAAAAAAAAAATTTTCCTTGTACAATTGGTTGTCTCCATCTGGATAAATCTGATCTATATTTTAAGTGCTTCTTAAATTTTAATTTAAAAATTTTAAAAGACCGTGTTGGATTTTCTTTGGCAGTGTTCAGAATTATAATTTCATATCTAAAGATATATATTCATATTTGCTCCAGGTAGCCTTTCTGGTAGACTATAGTTTTAACCCTTATCATCTGTTTGACATCTATTTCTTTTTCACTTATTTTGCCCAGCTCTCTATCAGTATCAATAGTAGTCTCTTATTTAAAAACTTCATTTAGTTCAATCAATTTTAGAAAATTCTTTCAACTAATTTACTTCCAATCATAGGTGCAAAGGGATGTTATATTTTCTTTTAACAATAATTTTGTTTAATTTTATAACTGTACAATCACAATTATAATTTCACAAGTACTTTCAATAACTAACAAGTCAGATTCTGATCAGCAATTTAAAATGTAGAAATATAGAACAAACACAAAACATTAAAAAAAGCCTGTTCAATTTTAACTGGAGACAAAAGATTAAATTTCTAACAACTGCAAAATAAAAATAAAAACTACCTTATTCAATTAAATTTAACTGAAGAGAATAAAATTCTATAAAACCAGGATCAAAAACTAAGTCAGAAACCATAGGCCAAATTGCTGTTGGTGTCAAGGTCATTGGGCAAACTACTTATTAAGTATACATATATTTCTTTTTAAGTGTTGTTCTTGTGATTGTCTAATCACACAGACAACTTTACCTGCTTATAAAGGGCCCCAAGATCTATACATTAAATAGCATTTTATTAAAAATAGCATGCAACAACTTGTGATGTTCACTTGTTAGTTGTTAATGAGCAATTATTCTTCAGAAACATTTGAATATTAAGTGATTTCAGGTTATAAATATATGAAAAGAACTGAATCCAATTATTTCTGGAATAGACAATAAAAATGATAAAACTTTAATAAATACTAAAAAAAATCTTCTTTTATCCATCATTCCAATTTTTTTCAGTCTCTGCTAACAGTCATGATACTAAAGTATGTCAATTGTCTATGAAGATGCACAATAGTAACAGCAGTATATGTTTATTCCTCATTATTTCATGCCACAAGTGTCTTTCATTTATTCATCAAGCCCCTGGTCCTAAGATCGTCAGATAAATGAAGATTTACTGTAGCAATCAAAATTAAAAGAAAAATTACCTGCAATAAATGTGGAAGGCAATCAGAAAAATGTCTATGAATATTATTTTCTTTCTCATGAGCAACAAGGAAAGCAGTTGTAGCCTTAACAGCAGAAATTTTAACCTAAAAACAAAAAATATTCTGTTAATTGAAATGTTATAGTTAAGTTTAATAATTGCTGAAAATAACCCTAAAAATTATTAGCTAGCAAATTCTTTCCATTTTTTACACATTAATTGCTGTATTCACTATCTCAAATAAATATAGAATAAAATTTAAATCACTAGTTAAAATCAGTATTAATTATTGGAGATTTAATTCCCATATTCTGAACTTTGATAGATAAAGCATTTGGTATTTTATAAATTTCATAAATTTTAAAATATAGTTAGATTTGAACAAGAAAAAAAAATGCATATGAACAGGTTAAAATTCATAAATCAATTTTAATACAGCAGGATCAATCTTATTATACTCTTTTAACAACACAGTTTCGATAACAACAACAATTATACTCTTTCTTAACTTACATAAATACTAATATACAATATTACAAATTACAAAATAAAATATAACTGATTATATTGAAATTTTCTATTATATTTAAGACATTTAAAATATCAGTTCAAATATCCAAATCCATTATATATTTCATCAAAACACAATTCTGAGAAATTGTACTCATTTATTTTTGAATGATCTCATTTATTTTTGAAAATAGTATGAAATATTTTGAAGAAACTTTTTAAAATAAGCATTACAAATCAAAATGCCTATATAATAAATAATTACAAAAATATGTAATTATTTATTATATAATCACTTACTTGTTGTATTGAAGGTTCTTGTAAGCTCTGTATTAACATTTGATGGATAACTTCCAAATAACGAGTTTGCTGGTTGCCAAATATACCTGGTACAATTCTGAAAAATTATTTGGTTTAATAAATTATNGGTTTCATCATCGTCATATTCCTCTTCCAGTTTACATTCCATGTTATCCTCTGTTTTATAAAGTTTTGTCAAATATTCATTCCATCTTACTAATTGCCTTTCCTTCTGCATTAAAATTTCTCCATTCTCATCCTTTATTGCCCCAATTTTTACTCTTCTTTTTTTTCCTGAGATTAAATTAATGTTTTGATAGACCTTTCTCAGATCTTGAGACACTTCATGTTCTTCTCAAAATAAATATACATATAAATATTGCAATATAAAAAGAAAACAGCAATGATAAATGAAAGAGAAAGGAAACATAAAAATAAAAGAAAAAGAGGGAAAAAAATAACATTTCTCAACATCATTTTTTATTGAATGAGCGTTAACAATTCTAACTGTTGATGCCCATTCAATGATGAATGGTTATTTGGAGAAAATATAAACAATGGTTAAATGTATAGCTGATTCCCCTTAGCTACAGTATCAAATTAACTAGGGCAACAATCTCAGCTCCAACTTTCCCTTGATTATTTGCTTTTGTCAAGTTCCATAAAACCAACAAACAACTGTACCCAGTCATCAACAAATCGAGATCTCCATCTATTTTTCTGGAGCAGATACTCAACTCTTTTCTAAACAACAATATGGAAGAATATCCGTACACTGTGTCCAATCCAGTGGAGTTGATTCTCAAATTAGACAGCCCTGGCAACTTGGATGACATCTACTTCACAGTATGTGACTTTGAGTCCATGTTCCCTTCTATTTGTATAGAACAATGTTTTCGTGAATTGTGGGACTTTCATTCGTAATATCAACAACTCTTCCAAACACATTTCCAACATTTTGGAGTTAGCACACCTTATATGTTACTCGGCCTTTTTTGTATTTGAAGGGGGATACTTTTCACCAGGGAAGAGTAGTAGTACCCATGGGTAGTCCCATCTCAGGAATGCTTTGTGAATTGGTGGTCAGGTGCCTTGAGCAATATGTCTTACCTGGTGTTAATGGTAGCATTATGTTATACACAAGATATGTCGATTTTTTTTGGAAGAAAAAAACCAAATTTGTCTGCATTCATCAAGGCTTTCAATGATAATGCTTACGGCCTCTCTTTGCGAGTAGAACAACAAAACTGCACCTAGGTACACTTTCTTGACATAGACATCGCATTACAACACAGCCTGTAGAGAACAAAGGTGTTCCGTAAGACCTCATCCTCATCTATGCAAAATCACATGATCCTTTCAATTATAAGATCTCTGCTTTTAAGGCCCTTGTAAGAAGGGTTTACACCCATCGTTTGATGGTGGAAAATAGGAAAATAAAACTGGATTACATTTCAAGCATAGCCAGGCAGCATGGATACCCAGCACACCCTTATCAATACCATTATTGTACGCCAGAAGCATCCAACAGAAAAATTACAGTCGAAAGACAGGTCCTTTTTACCTGTTACTTATAATAAGGTCCTGGCCAACATCTAAAAGGAAATAACCAACTTTACAAATAACAGGATTGCTTACAGGAGATCTCCTACAATTTTTTCTATTATTAGAAATAATGAGGACCAATTGGGCTGGAATGGTATCCCAAGAGTCTATACTATCCCTTTAAATGATCATAGGGTCAACCGTCCATATGAATATATTGGAGCTACTGCATGTAGTGTAAAAATGAGGGTCAGAGAGCATAAATACACAATTCAGAAAGATCTATCCACTACCACATTGGCTTCCTTCACTGTTGATAGCAATGTCCAGGTTAAATTTGACAATGCCCAATTACTACAAGATTGCGATAATCAGCCAACCTGAAATATCAGGAACAAGTGGAGATATTCAAAGCATTTAAGAGAGAGACAGCAGAAATTAAAGAAATGGACTCATTAGCAACCACATGAAGGGCGTGCTTTGATGTACAATAGATCTTGAGTTCAGTTTGGATTTTATATTTTATGTATACCTAGTATTTTTAAATTTGTAATCTAGTTTAAATATCCTCGTTAAATGCAACATTCAGTATGCACGTATTTTCATGACCTGTAAATTTTAAAAATTTGCATTCTTTTAACAAGCATTCCATTATTTTGAAACCTGAGGATGACCATTGAAAACAAACAAAAATGTTTATTTGGGATTAGCTAAATCTAATTTCTTGCTGGTCGTTGGTAATTACATATTTTAAATTCTAGACCTAAAAGAATAAGAACAACCAAGACCCTAAAAGTTCGTAAAATATGATTTGAGTATCACTGAGTAAGAATGACTTTGTCAAGGGCCTCAATTTGTAGAAATATTAGCAACTCTTCTTGAATTTCTTCTTGAAATCTTACTCTTCTCAATTCTTCAATCTCTACTTTCTCATAAAATGTATTCCATCATGCTTGATGTGGGAATTTCTAGTACAACAATAATAATCTGATTGCTTTTTCTACATAAATGTTATTTTTTTTATGTTTAATAATTTGCATAAAAATGTTCAGAGAGTTTCAGAAGTCAAAATTTCTGATATTAGTTCATGATAGTTTTCCTTGGAAAGTTTATTTGCTAATATTGTTTGTTGAATTAAATTACAATCATGTTATTCAAATTGGTGCAAATATATTCAATTTATTGCAGCTTATACTTTTTAAAATTACTCTTTTTAAAATATTAATAATATCAAAAAATAATTAATATAGGATACATGATGTCCTGTCAAATCAGCGTAACAGTAAGCTTAAATTCAAAAACAAGCTAATCTGAGAATGAGATCTAGATCATCTCAAAAATATCTATCTAAAATTTGCTGAATCACTTCTCAAAATACAAACTCATTATTTTCAATAAATTCACAATTTAAAATAGTTCATTAAAACATCTAACAGTATAGCCAGTATTTGATTGCTTTTCTTTATTTCAGCAATTTAAACATACTAATTAAATAAATTTTATAAATTAAAATGTAATAAAATCTATTGCATACCTAAGTAAATGAAATCAATTAGAAAGTTTTACTTAAATATAAATTCCAACATAAAAGTAAATTTATTCCAATTCATTAAATGAGCTGCTATAAAATTTTACCAAAAAATGAGATTTTGCCTATTTATTTTTGCTGGAGTTAGTGTTTTACTTTACAAATCAATAAAAATCAAGAAACCAACATAATGGTTTATTATGACTTTATAGTTAAATGTTTAGCTACAGTTTATTCAATCTAACTGTGAGCAACAAAAAATAAAATTAGTTGTTTTAAGTTTTACTTACGTGAACATTTGCAATGCCGATTCTCGGAGAACATGGTTAGTTGAACTTACACAATCAAACAGAAATTTTAAAAATTCAGGCCAATGATTATTACCATCATCATCTGAAATTATTTTTGAAATTATGAAAAATTTTATTTAAATTAAAGCTATATACTGCTTTAGTTAATACAGATATAAAAACTAAATAAGTGCTCTGAAAAGATATCTGTTAATATCTTTTCAAAGCAGAATTAAGCAAAAATTGTTTATAGCAACTATCTTAATACCAAAGAAAAAGAAGTTGTGCTTTTCTCCCATTCCATAGTCTTTTGTTGGTAGCATAAAATACAGATTATTAAAATTTTGTAATGACCTTCTTTTTCAGTTATAGGTTATATCATTGCCTACCCTGCACAGATTGTGCTGTGATGATAGAGACAGGCAGCAGAAAAACAAGAATAGAAAACTTTATTGGAGTAATGGAAAGAAACTTAAACCTATTACAGAAAAAAAAAAAAAAAGTAAATGCTTCAAAAAGAACTATTTTTGGCATATCAGGGTCAGACAAGATTTATTTACATACCAAGATGGAATGTGGTGATACTTTTATTTATATCTATAAATCAAAGAATCTTACTCTTGGTAAAGACTTTATAAGGTAACTAATGCATGCAATGTAATCACACTTAAAATAATCAAATGTATAAAATTATGTTACTTCAACTGTAATGTTTCCAAAATATTACAAAAGAATAATATTGTAAATCTTTTATTTTAAGAATATTTAAACCTTCCAAACACAAACATTTAAATTTGAATTTGATTAGTTTTTATAACAGGAGCAACTAAAGAAGCATAAGTTGAATATAATCAAAATTACTTTATAATTAATTGTTTAGTATTGTGAAATATGTATACTGTTTTATGTTAGAAAAACAATTCTTACCAATAAGATTCCTTGCTAATTCAGCAACAGTATCACATATTTTTTTCCTTAATAAAGGATTGCCTTCCTGTTGAATTATAATTAAAAGTTGAGATTTGAGTTGATTGAATGCTTCTACATTCAACTCTGTTGATATTTCTTCAAAATCTGTTGAAATAAGTCTTCTTAATAAAACAGCAGCAAGTTGTCGCACCTATAATGTAAAGATAAAATATGTTTAATTTCATTAATTCTATTTGAAGTTTACATCAAATAATTTCACATTTATATTTTTAATACTTTTGTAGTTTTTCAACAAGCTTTTCTTTTTAACTACAGTTAAACAGAGGAAAACATAAAATATACAAAAAATGTAATTAATTTATCGGTTGTAATTATAATGTTTACAATACAATTAATTCACTCTATTTTGACTACATATTAATTAAAATAGATGCATACTTTGAATTTATCTCTTTTTCTAACAAAATATTCAGCTTTAGTCACTGATGATTTTTTAATTTATTGAAAATTTCAAATTCAATTTTTTAATAATAAATTTAAATACTGTATATGTAACTTTTCCAATTAACAGACAAATTTATTAATATTTATCTTTAACTAAATAAAAATACAATATTTGTATAGCTGGAAGAAAACTGCTATTTTTGACACCTGTTGTTACTGTATAACTTAAACATCAATACAAAGTTATTCATGTGGATTAAGCTTAAATTCAAAAACAAGCTAATCTGAGAATGAGATCTAGATCATCTCAAAAATATCTATCTAAAATTTGCTGAATCACTTCTCAAAATACAAACTCATTATTTTCAATAAATTCACAATTTAAAATAGTTCATTAAAACATCTAACAGTATAGCCAGTATTTGATTGCTTTTCTTTATTTCAGCAATTTAAACATACTAATTAAATAAATTTTATAAATTAAAATGTAATAAAATCTATTGCATACCTAAGTAAATGAAATCAATTAGAAAGTTTTANTTAAAAAGAAGAAGATAAAAATAACTACAAATGCGTGTCATATTATAAATGAGGAATATAGAATATATATAAATGAACATCTTACTCCATATTATAGAAATATTTTCTATAAAACCAGAACACTAAAAAAACAAGGAAAAATATTAAACACTTGGACAAATAATGGAAATGTGTATTTAAAAAAGGATACTTCTTCCACAACTCGAATACCAACATTGGACAGTTTAGAGAAAATTTTTCGGAATGATTGAATTATTAACACATACAAAGACAGACAACTTCTCCAAAAAGGAAATATTCGTGCTTTATTGCAACGTAAAAGGTTTAAATAACTGTGAGGATCGGACCGAATAAAATAAAATTAAATAAAGAAGCTCAAATTAAATTAAATATCTTTATTAAAGTTAAACAAAGAAAAACTTCATTTTTCGAAATTTTACGAAAAAGGATATACACATTTCCTTCTCACAGAGCCGTTTCCTATCTCTCGGGAAACCGAAAAATGATTCATGAGGAACTTATCCTAAAAATCACCGATTGGTGAAACCCAGTAACGTGACGAGGGATAAAAGAGGGGTGACGACGAGAAAAAGAGGTCCGTCGTCGCCGTCCGTGAACACGGTCCGTCATCACTGTTCATGATCGGGGAAACCCGTGCCGATCCTCATCACCGCCGTCCGTTCCTCAAGACAACTTGTCCGATCCGGTTAGAAAACGTCCGATCGTCCGATCCCCTCCTCGTAGAGGTATGATACCCATTAATGTACACTCTCTCTCGGCGCGGTCCCTTCGAATAACGCGCAAGTAGGTAGTCTTTGTATGTTAGGATTATGTTGTCTAAATAAATGTTTGTTTGTCTATTAAAAGTCGTCTTTATTTCGAGTATCGTTAATGCTTTACCGACGACCCCTCTCACCTCCTCCACTCGACCTGACAAAAGAATCCCGACTTTACGGGATAGAAAAAGCATTTTCTAAGCCATCCACTGACCAGTGGGCAGTTGTCACCCAACTGTTGCCTATCAAAAAGAGGTACGACCTCGTCCTACCTCAGGCTACCCACATAACAAATATTTAGAAATACTTAAAACAACAGAGGAATATAACTGCAACTTTGATGTATTAGCTTTTTGCGAGACTTGGACAAATAATGTAAATCCTCCACCATATATAAAAGACTATCAGCAAGAAAAATAGAAAGAAAACCTAATCAGCATGGAGGCATAGTAATTTATATACATAATGATATACAACCTAATGATAAACATTATGAAGTTGTTTCAAACCTAACTTTTACAAGGAATTATATAGATGTAATTACAATAGTTGTAGGTAATCTGATGTTGGTAATAGTCTATTGTTCCCATCTACAAACTACGGAATTTTCCTGGATGTTATAAATGAAATACTATTACATAAATCAACCAAATATGGAAAATATAAATTACAAATAATTGGGGATTTTAATATCAATTTACTTAAAAATAACTCCTCCAACACCTCCCGACTGGTAAATCTTTGCTTTGCTGAAAATTTAACAATTCTGGCTGATTTGAATCAACCTACTAAATACGGAAAAAATACTCGCTCTTTGATAGACTTTGGTCTAACAAACAATAGTGCATGTGAATTTTTAATACATCAAAATTTGATATCTGACCATCTACCTATCATCGTCTTTACCCCTGAAAAAGACCTTAATACGGGGATAAAGAACAAAGCAATCTACCATAAAATCAATAATTCCTTGATTTGCTGTTTACATTATGCTTTGTTTTTCCTGGAATTATTACTATACTTCAAGTTTGACAACTGACCAATTAGCTGACTATTTATACACCATCTTACTCGTTTTTATTGATAAATATCTTCCGACTAAAGAATATGTGAAAAAAAAAAAGAAAATTAGTAGGAAAGAATTCTTAAAGAATTTTATATCTGAACACACACACTCACATTAATTAAATGAAAGAAAACTTTACTTAAAACAGTCAAAAATAAAAATTGGATGACTTTCGAAGAACGAAACAAGTACTTAGAGCAGTGGTTCTCAACCAGGGGTACATGTACCCCTAGGGGTACGAGCATAAATCGAAGGGGTACATCTAACTTTCATTATAAAATGGCGTATGTTAATCAATTCGCTGTAAATTATTAACACAAGAAACAATAAACGATAAAAACTTTCCTTAAAATATCCCAGTGTGAACACCGATTTCTCTTTTAACAGTCTAAACAACTTGTTTATCTACTCGATTTGCCCANTGACTATTTATACACCATCTTACTCGTTTTTATTGATAAATATCTTCCGACTAAAGAATATGTGAAAAAAAAAGAAAATTAGTAGGAAAGAATTCTTAAAGAATTTTATATCTGAACACACACACTCACATTAATTAAATGAAAGAAAACTTTACTTAAAACAGTCAAAAATAAAAATTGGATGACTTTCGAAGAACGAAACAAGTACTTAGAGGATATACATACCTTGAATAAACAAATCAGAAAAAATATCCATAATGAAGAGAAAAACTATTACTAAGTTTTCTGTTTTCTAATGTTACTTCTCCTTCTGACTTCTGGAAAAGTATTAAGACATTACCCTTTCAGGTAACCAGGACAAAGAATAAGGTTAAAATAGATTATTTGAATTACAAGGGGAAAATAATAAATGATGAATGCATTTTTAGTGACATTTTTGCCGAGCAATACAGGTCCTTGAACAGCTTTGCTCCAGATGTCTTCGGCAATATCAATTCGGAGCAACACAGAACAAATGTTAGTATTTCTAATACTTTCCTTTTGGAAAACAATAGCCTTAGAAGTCTATAATACTATACAGGGTTTGAAAAACAGAACTCCAGACATCAGTTTCTTAAATATTGAAATCTTAAAACACATATCTGATATCATAGCTCAACCATTATTGCATCTGATAAATAAATCTTTTGAAAACAGTTACTTTCTGGAAAAACTAAATCAAAACTTAGTTTTGCCATTATATAAAAATAAAGGATCAAAAAGTGAGATTGAAAATTATCGTCTCATAATAATAGTATCAGTGTTGGCTAAAATTTTCGAGATTTTCTACAGGAGATTTTCAACTTTTATAGACAAATTCCAGATTACTCACAGAAACCAATATGCTTATAAATGAGGATTTTCGATGGTAGATGCTTTGTTGCATTTGAAACAATCAATAACGTCACAACTTGACAAATCAAAAATAGCAAATATCAGTTTTTGTGGACCTTTCAAAGGCATTTGATATCTTAAATCATGAACTTTTGTATCAAAAATTACAAACTGTTGGTCTAAGAGGGACTCCTCTACGCTGGTTAAAATCATACTTGTCAAACAGAATTTACTTTGTAAAAATTGGACAGATTATCTCTAGCTCTTTCAGACCAAATAAGGGCATTCCTCAAGGTTCCATCTTGAGTCCATTGCTTTTCAATATATATATTAATGATTTGTTTAACAATATACCAAAAGAGAATATACTGATGTACACTGACGATCTAGTGATAACTTATTCTCATATGAATGTTATAATTTTTCAGGAGAATTTAAGTCACATTTTAAAAACTTTAAATAGTTATATAAAAAACAATGGGTTGGTAATTAACAAAATAAAACTAAATTCCTCTGCTTTGCAAATAGGAATAAAAAAATCAATCTACATCACCTAAAAATTGAAATAACTGATTATAACATAGAAAAAGTAAATGCAGGGTTCCTACTCAAATTTTTGTTTTGAATTCCCTGACTTTCCCTGATTTTCCCTGACCAACTTTGTCCAAATTCCCTGACCCTCACATTTTTTAGTGTGGAATATCGACATAATAAAACAGCATTTACTGTTAACATTGAGTACATTTAGCCCTCTTTTTGCACAGTTGATATGCTTCAAAGACTGCCACATTAAAAAAATACAGTACATACATCCTGTAGAAAAATGTTTGATAGAATCCACAATTTCAATGTAATGAAAAAATAAGCAATTTACAAACAAAACACAAGCTTTTTATTTTATCATCATTTATCATTATTATTTGTATGTAAATCTAGTAAATACAAGGTAACATAAAATCAACAAAAATTATTCTTTGATAAACAAATAGTACTGTACTGTGCTTAAAATGAACTCTTGACCAATACTACTTCCAACACACACCGTATCTTCAACAGACTTACTTCTAGACTTAGAAACTCTTGACTTAGAAACACACAATTTTAAAATCAATCTTTCAACAAAAAGAGTAACTTTTTTTT